AGAGTTGGAGGCCCTGAAAACAGGGGTCAATCTTTTTAGTAGCTGGGTCTAAGAAAATCGAGGATCCTAAGGCGAGGGCGGGCGTGGAGGGAAAGCGGAGCCGTAGTGCATAATGGGCGGGGCTATGCAAATCTAACCCCGCTGGGGGCTCTTCAGTCCCAGGGTTGGAGCGTGGGGCGGAGTAGGCGGGGGCGTAGTGGGCGGGGCTTCCCCGTGGGACCCTCCAGGCGGTTTTACTTAAGACTGGAGTGGGCGGAGCTATGCAAATAAAACCCAAAGCAGACATTTCAGACCAGGGGGCGGGCCTATGCTGGGAATGGGCGGGGCTTTGGGACTCTGTCCCAAGGGAGGGGCCCGTGAGCGCAGTGGGTAGGGTTTGGGGATCGAAGAGGTAGCTTTTACCCAGCTGTTAGTCCCAGTCCATTGACAACGCGTCAGCCGCTTCCTTTTTGCTTTTAAATTTCATCCCCGGCTCGGAGTTGGGGTTCTAGGAGACAGGAGACCTGGAGGAAGATCTGGAAGGAATGGGGTGTGTGTTGAGACCCAGAGGACCCCTAATGAATTTCTCCCCCATGGTCCAAGAGTCGGGCCTCAATGCCCCCATGCAATCCTGACATTCGGGCTCCAGTGCACCTACCCACTCAAGGCTCAGGCACCAATGCAGTCCCTCCGGGGCCTAAGCATCCGGACCCCCACTAAGCCCCCTACAGGATATCGTGATGCTCAATCCCCGGTCTATTTCCCGAGGACCCAGGTGTCCAGGCCGGAACCCCTGCCCTCCTCACCTGCAGGACGGCCCCTCCCCAGGGGCGGGGCACCGGGCCCCTCCCGCAGCGTCCGCTGCTGCTGCCGCTGCCGCTGCCGCTGCGCTGCCCTCGGACCCGCCGAGCTGCTCGGCCCGGCGCGGGAACGGCGACGGGGGAGGAGAGGAGCGGGAGCGCGCGCGAGCTGCTTGGCTCAGCCTCATTTTCGTTTCCTCCTCCCACGCCGAGCTGGGAGCCTCCACGCATGCGCAGTCTCGGCCAGCAGAGGCTGCGGCTGCAGTAGAGGAAATAGAAGGAGTGGGCGAGGCAGGCGAGTTCCTGAGCGAGTGGAGCAGGCGCTAAGCTGTCCACCGAGAGGCAGCTGGGGAGTGGAAGCGGGTGGCGAGGTACGGTGGCTCGCTGGAGTCCAGCACGTGCAGGACCTAACATGGAGAAACTGCTGCGAGATCAGAGCTGGCTCCCAGCGTGTGCACATCCAGCATCCCTCTCTTCCGCCCCCGCTTAATTATGGCCTCCTTTCCGAGAATTCCGCTGGAGCCAGAGTTCCATCTCCGGAGGCCGTTTCCAGACCCCGCTGCCCATCCCGCCTCTCGAGAGGTTGCGATAAAAAGATTGGTAACCGTTTCTTCCGGAGAGCGGGGAAAGGAAGGTCTCTGGGATCAGGGAGAACTGGCACCCAATCAAAGGGACGTTATTTGCATAGCGCGCTGGCCCCGTTTCGCCATTGGGTGATTAAAGATTCTCAGCCCCAATGCTCTGCCTTTCTTCCGGGACTCGGGCTGCTCGGACGGTTCCTGGGCCCGGCTGGCGCACCTAGTGCTAAGTCCTAGTTTAGACGCGATTTGGCGCCATTCCCAGGGGAGTGACAGTGCACTTCCCGGCCGGCTCAGGAATGACCATGAAATGCCCGTAAAAGTCCTCTTCGTGGGTGGGTCTCTATCCTGATATCCCACAAAATCTGGCGAGCCCCAGAAGAAGTGGATGGGAGTTAACTGGCAGGGTGTTTGAGCCTGGAGCCAGCCTGCCTGGATAACTATATTGAGATCCTAGCTCTGCCACCTCCTCGCTGTGTGACCTTGGCTAGTCATTTAATCTTTCGGGGCCTCACTTTCCTTATTTATAAAATGGAAGTTTATTAGGATTAAATAAGATAATCGATGAAAAGTCTTTAAAAACAATGCCGATAGCATACAGTGTTATTAATACTACCTTTTAGTTTCTATTGTGCATTAAACTAGATCATGATAAAGTCGGTCATATTCCAAGAACAGCAAGTCACAGGCCTACAGGTGGGAAGGGGTGCACTGTGTTAAGGGGCTCTCTCCTAAAATGTCACACCATGCTTTAGACTCTGGCCTTGGTTCCGGTTCTTGTATATACCGTGCTAAATCCTACCCCAGGACCTTTGCACAAGCTGTTCTCTCTGGCCCCCAAGGCCCTTCTTCCATCTCTTTGGCTGTCTGACTTCCTCTTTGAGTCTCAGCTAGATGTTACCACCACAGAAGGCCTCCCCTACCCACTTTATCTCACGAATCCCCTTCCTTCTCACTGTTGTCTTGCCCCCCTTGTACGTAGTAACACTGTATACTTGTGTCCTCTAGAATGTATGATCCGTTAACCAAAAGCCAAACCAAACCCACTGCCATGGAGTCGATTCTAACCCACAGCGCCCCTAGAGGACAGAGTGGAACTGAACCACAGGGCTTTCAACGCTATAAATCTTCACAGAAGCGGGCTGCTACGTCTTTCTCCCCTCGTGGCAGCTGGTGGGTTCAAACCTCCGACCTTCTGGTTAGCAGCTTTAACCACTGTGTCACCAGAGCTCCTTATATTCTGTTAGGAGAAACAATTTGTTCATCTCTCTCCCCACTATTCAGAACAAGGCATAGAAGAGTAGGTTTCAATGAATCTGTGTCGAATGAACGCTTCAAAGAATTAACAGCCAGAAGGCAAAGAAACACAAAGGATGATGATGGGGAGAGTGTAGAACTCGAGGGCAAAGAACTGGGCAGGGCGTTGGTGAGGTTGAGTAGGAAGCCAGGGCATGGTTTTAAACACAGGAAGTGACACAAACCAGGTTTTCATATAGTACTGTACAATAGTTTTTTTTTAATACATACTTGAAAAATATTACGGAAGTTTTAAGCATATACAAGAGGGAAGAAAGAGTATAACTAACCCACCTATTCCTATCACCAGCCAATCTTGTTTCCCATCACCCCAATACTCCTCCCTGAACCCCTTGGATTATTTTGAAGTTACCCCAGATATTTCATCCAGAAACCCTTCAGTCCCTGTCCCTAAAAGATAAGGACTCTTCTCTTTTTCTTCGTTAAACAAAACCACAGTGCTGTTCTCAAGCCTCTAAAAACCTACAACCATTTCTTCAAGTTATCACATATTCCACTGGTGTTCAAATTTCACCAATGATCCACCCCACCGCCCCCTTTTTTTTCTTTTTCCAAGTACAATGTCTTATTTTATTTCAAGGATACAGAAAAGAGAATAAAATAAATGTCCCTGTTACTCATTAACCAGCTTCCACAGTTATCCGCTCCCCCACCACTTCTCCCATATGATTCTGAAGCTAAATCCCAGACATCATGGCCCAGAAATATCTTCTTCTTTTTTTTAATTGGTTTGTTTGAATCAGGATCCAAACAAATCTGCACATTGCAATTGCTCAATGAGACTCTTCAGGGTCTTTTTTATTGACGCGCTTGCTGGTTTCACTTCATTCTGATTGCTACATGGAAAACAGATTGTAGGAACAGAGTAGAAGCCAGAGGACCAGTGGAGTGGCTGTTATATATTAATTATAAAATGAATCATTAACATTTATTGGGCACTTGTTATATACTATAAGGAGCTCTGGTGGTGCTGTGCCTGAGGCATGTGACAGCTAACCAGAAGGTTGCAGGTTCAACCCACCAGCTGCTCAGCAGAAGAAAGATGGGGCAATCTACTTCCATAAAGATTTACTGCCTCGGAAACCCATTGGGGGTCGCTATGAGTGGGAATCAACTCGATGACAATGTTTTATTATTATTATTATTACATACCATGGAGCTCTGATGGTGCAGTGATTAAAGAGCTCAGCTGCTGAACTAAACATCAGCAGTTCAAAACCACCAGTGGCTCCATGAGAGAACGATGTGGCAGTGTGCGTCCATAAAGATTATAGCCTTGGAGACTCCATGGGGCAGTTCTACTCTGGCCTACAGGATTACTATGAGTTAGGAATTGACTGGACGGCAGTGGGTTTTATCATACCAGAAACTTCCAAATACTTTTTATGCATGACTTCGTTTAATCCCCACAGCAACTTTTTAAGAGGAGATGATACTATTATCCTTGTTTCACAGAGGAGGGAAACTTGGTACAGAGAGAGACGTTCACCTGTTCAGGGTCACACAGCTAGGAAGTAGCCAGAGTCTGGATTTGAACTCCTGCAGCCTGGTCCCAGAGACGCTGCAATTTGCACTTATGTTTGGTGCCTCCTGACTGGGGCCGAGGGATTGATGATGAGGTTAATCAACATGGCTTGGTGATGATCCGGGTGGGAGTGGCAAGGGGTGGAAGGAGTCAAGATAGTGACAAAAGCAATGACAGCCAGCTCCCACTGAGCATTCTCTGTGTCAGGTGCTCTTAATGACTCGCCACTCACTGGATCCTTTCACATAAGGGAGGAACTGTGTTCGAACTCATTGTACAGATGAGGAAACACAAGCCCACGAAGAATAAGTTTTGAGCTCCACGTCACAAAGCTAAGTGGGGTGCTGCCAAGGTTTCTAACTCAGGCCATTGCACAGCTGAACCTCCTGAAACCTCAGTGGGCATGAGTTCAAGGGAAAGAGAAATTTCTAGAAACCCTAAAAAATACAGGACCTTGAGGCTTAGACGGTCTTGGGTAGGGGAGTTGTTCTTCACACTTAAGGCACTAGCTGCTAAGCAGAAGGTTGGAGGTATTAACCCATCTGGAGGCACCTCGGAGGAAGGGTCTGAAATTTGCTTCTGAAAGGTCACGGCCTTGAGAACTGTGGAGCACATTTCTGCTCTGAAAACACAGGGTTACAGTGAGAAGGAATCCAGTGGCCAGCAGCTGCTTC